CGAACCCCTGTCTTCCGGGCCTGCTGGGCGTGCCGAAGCGAACGCCTTTTATTGTTTTGCACACCGTTGCGACGTGATTGTTGCCTTTGGCTCCCCTTCTCGTCTCTCGGCATCTCTGAGCTGAAGGTGTCGTTGCGTTGGCTGGGTGGGTGGGATTTCGAGTTGCGGACGAGGTGGGACAGCGAGCTTGAGGTATGTCCCGGAGCATATTCTCCTAGCATTGATGGGCAGCCTTTCTCCGGGTGGGTTAATCCTGACGTGCCCAATGTCGGTCTGCGGGATGTTGACGTGATACGAAGAAGACGGCGGTGTATACCTTCATCCCATCATGGACCGTCTCTTGACATTGGGATCCAGACCGGGTGTTTTCACTTATTCTCCCTCGCGTTTCGTAGCACGCGGTAGCACAAATCCGGAAATAGGTGGGAAATCTTTGCCGTTTTGGTCCGCCTGTTTCAATAGGCCTTCTTTTGCTCGCCCGTGTCGACCTTTTTTGTCTGCTGTCTTGTATCACGGTGACTCCTTGTCCACTTGCAGGAGATGCCCAGCAAAGTCACCGGGTTATTGTCAGTGTTTCATACCCGCCACTTTGGGAATTGGGCTCGCCTGGGCAAAAGAGAAAAAAAAAAATAGGTTGGGAGCGAGGAGGGGGTGTCGTCCTGTCAAGTTTGTGGCGGTCCTTTCAAGCAGGAAAAAAAAAGGAGGTGTGTCGAAACAAGCGACCGACATCGCTGCATCTGCGGCTTGAGGGGTTCTGGGCCCTGGTCGTCCCTTTTTGGGAGGGCTGTCAAATGTGGCTATCAACGAGGATGCTGCATTGCGCATCTGCGAGCCGTTTCCCGGCAGGCAAAGAAAGCAGAGACGAAAGAAGAAAAGAAAGGCAGGGGTGTGTGTTTAGCAAAGAAGAGGATTCGGTGGGGTTGCTGGAAGGCGGGCGGCTCCTTGGCTCGCCGTCTTTGATTGATGGAGATGATGCTTGTCCTGTCGCCGCAAACATTCTCCCTTGTGTCATATTCGACTACTGACCTGTGTCAATATCGATTTTTCTTCTTCTTTTATTTTCACCTTGTTTCCTGACTTCTTGTCGCAGTAGCAGGGGGGCACGGATGACGCCGAGCAAAGGCCCCATCCCGTTCCCATGGATGATGGGAATGCAGCAACCTCTTGTCGGCCCAAGCGTCGGGACGGATTGGGGCGGGCCCGGCGGCGAGCAGCAACGTAACGTTCTATGCGAGAAGGGTAGATTACAATGGCATTGTCCCCAGCGGCCTTTGTTCCGTATCCGCCCATGGCAGCAATCGTGGTGGCACGGCGGCCAGGAGCGAGACGAGGAGGAGGGAGTGGAAGACGGGCAGCAGCATCATGGACGCTTCTTGCAACAGAAACACCCGCCTTCCGCCTTCCGCCTTTGGTGCACCTGCTCTCTGCCCTCCTCCTCCCTTCCATTCTTCCCAAAGTTCTGGTCCGCCGCAGCCTGTCGGCGTAAAAGCACACAAAGGTGGCACAGGTCCCCGTCATGGGCATGTATATATCTCTTGCGGCGAAACAAATCCATTGGCTGGAACCGCCATCTTTAAGCGAGGAAGGAGGGACCTTTCCCCTCCTGGGTGAGAGCACAAAAAGCCGGCCTGTTTTTGTGCGCCGTCGTGCCGACGCCGCCGCGGCTGTCTGCAGTCGGCACAAAAACGCTTTCCCATAAGTGTCCCACGACACGGATGGGGCAGGCTCGCTAAATGTACGGGCGCCCGCGCATGGAGGTAGGGCAGGGCAGCGCGGTGGGGGGGAGGCTGGCTGTTCTGGGAAGCCCAAGATAACTGCATCAGACCTCCTGTGCCCCCGATTCGGTTTACTGTTCATCCCATTACTGGGTCATCCTCCTTCCCGTCGACACAATGGGTCCCTTCCTCCCAAGGCACCTCAATAGGCCGGCGCCGCCGCTGCTGTTGCTGCTGCTGCCAAAAGCTGCACTGGAACTCATGGCGATCCGTCGTGGTAACCAGGCTGGCGTATTGGTAACGAGCCATGGGAAGCTGTCAGTCCTCTGCACGACCTGGGATCGCTGTCCACCGCTTCGCCCCTCCCGCCCGTGTAGCATTACCTCATGGCCCGGTGCCCACCCCCTGCCTGCCCTGCGTTACTTGTGGCCTGCCTGCTTCATGTGCCTGCTTCTGCGCCTGCGCCTGCTTCTGCTTCTGCTTCTGCCTCGCCGCTCTTTGACAGCAGCAGCCGGCTCCCCGGCCCACCTGCCAGCCTGCCGGTCGACCGCATCTCTCCCTTGCTCTCGGCCATCGACATGATGTCCATCCTGCTGCAAACCACGCATGCACGCACACGGCCGGCCGGCCCACCTGCCCACCCAGATGCAGATGCGGCCTGCGGCCGTTATCTGGGGAGGGGAGGGGCGAGGCCAAAGACTGCTAGCTTCCGTTTCCCATGCCCTAAGTTTTTCTTCAGTCTTTCCCTCTCTCTCTCTCTCCTCCCCCTTGAGCCTGGATCTTGGGCGGCCGAACTACATTAGTCCCTTGGGGACGTGGGGGGAGAAAGGTGGGAGGGCACATGCGGTGAATGCAGTTTGGTCCCCAACATCTCACCCCGTCTTTATTGCCCCCTTCCCACCTTCCGGACCGAACCATCCGCTTCCCCCGTCGCCCCTTTCCTCCTTTGTCCAAGGCTCGCCCGTCGCCCACAGATTTTAATTCCCTTTTTTTCTTTTTTTTTTTCGACCTGCATCTGGCCTCCCACCCCCTGCGCGGGCGGGATACTAGTTGCCGGCGGTATCGGCTGCGGGTCCTGAGAAGGGAAAAAAATGACCCTATTTTGGCCGTTTGCTTGTGAGTTGTGACAGCTTTGCTGTTTTGCCAATGGTGCCTCGGGGGAGGGAAAAAAGCCCAGGACTTTGTCTCCTTTCTCTTCCCTCCCCTGAGCCGCCACGCTCAACCGTCACCGAAGCAAGCTAGCATGGGCTTGGTGTTTCCCTGCCCCTCCCCTCTGGCCTTGAGGCTTTTGCAAACGCGAGGGCATACATGCAGCACCGTATTGACACACACATACACACATGTCACGCACAAGCACAAGCACACACATACACACACACACACACACGCACACACACACGCACACCTACCTACACGCATACGCGCACACCCAAACTCACCTTCCAATGACACAGAGAGTCGGCACACGCCCCTCCCTGGGCGTGCGTTGACCTGTCATATGCGCGTCTTGACTCAATGGGCAGCAACATACAAGCTCGATAGCATCGCCAGGGGAACACCTTATCCTTTCTTTCCCGCGAGGGAAAATGGCGGAGCCGCGGGTGTGTCTGGTAGAGCGGGACTGTGCGCTCCCGCGTACCTGGGTACATGTCCTCCTATCCCCGCCCACTGGCGTCGGGTGGGGACGGGGAGCGTCTCTCTCTTTTTTTTTTGCGAAATATGATATAGCTGCATGTAGTTTGATCGGTATCTCCCGGGGGCCCCGTCATGGGTTGGCGGGTATGGTCCAGGAAACGCAAGGAAAGCTCCGACTAAATCGGCTGGGTCGGTCTCCTTTCCAACCCCTTGCCTCAAGACTCAGTCTAGCCTGAGAAATAAGTAGTGGGCAAAAGTCCCCGAGAACCCAACTGTCTCGTTTCCCGGTTTCTGGGACCGGATATCTTGGTGCTTAATAGCTCTGATAAACCTCCACCCGCCCTACCTGCCTGCCTGCACTTGTCCTTCGCTCGTCAGGCTTCTCTTCTACCTTGTAGCCAGCCACCCAGCCTTATCCACGCTGAGCTTTGTCGAGCTGTTCACCGGCCCGTGGCCAACGCCCCAACAGATGCCGCCACGCACAGCCGCCTCTGCGTGCTGTCAACCTATCGGAATAGCATATACCCAGCATTGATCCACCCTTTGTTGGCTCTCCTGGTCGGACCGTCACGCTCTGTTTTGGGCTTTGCTTTAGAGTGGCGCACAGGTGCTCGTTCGGCCTATTACACCACAGTGTCCCGCCTTGTGCTGTGCGCCTGTGAGGCAGACGTCACCTCCTCTGGGGCTTGGCTTTTTTTTTTTTTTGACAGCTGTGAGGGCCCCCCCCACCCATGCCAGCCCGACTCCTACCCTCCATCGATCCTTCCTCATTGGTCCCCTCGGTGCCAGCACCATGGGCTGTGGAAAGGCGTCACGGGAAAAGTAGGGCCTTGGCGTTCACCAAAGATCCCAATTACCACGCCGTCACCGCGAGCCCCCGGCTTGATACAGAGCATACAAGCACGTTTTGCGCATGCCAGAGTACTTGTGTTGACCAGAACAGAGCCTCTAACGAGGAGTTCCAAAAATAGGCCTCCCATAAACGCCTGTAGCGAGCAGAACCATCCATCAGAACCATCCATCAGCCGCGAGGTGGGCGCCACAAAGAAGAGACCAGCCATGATAGGCCATCCCGCCAGCCTGCCAGTCCCAACAGAAAGCCGCCAGCCGTCATCTGATCTTCCCTGCACGACGCTGCCATCTACCGCAGCTACACGTCTCGACCCAGCTCCCGCCGCGTCGCACCAGCTAGCGAGCTTCTGGTACAAGCCCGGTCAAGAAAGCGACCCCCACAAGCAAGCTGGAGACTTTTGCTCGACGGCCCCGTCCTTTTTTTCGACGCTAGCGGCAAACACAGAGTCCTCCACCCTCTTCTCGGCTGACGGGCATCAGAAAATGCAACGAGACGAGAATACCAACAGCAACAGCAACAACAGCGGCCCGCCCGCGCCAACACCAAGCCACCACAGCGGCGACTCCTCCCAGCACCCGTCGCCAGACACCATAGTCGAGGCCATGACGCCATATGCCGCCATGGTGTGCGGCGAGCCCTCGCCACAAGTCTCCAGCGAGCCCGAGATCATCCCCCTGAACACCCCGCTGATGACCCGGATGGAGGACGTGGCATGCTGGCACCAAGTCCCCGGCAGCACCGCCCCCGCCCAGGAGGAGTACGACTACGACGTGATGCTGAACCACCACAAGTTCGGCCTCTACCCCTCCCCGCCTCCGGTGCCCAGCGCCCTCACGCTGGCAGAACAGCAGACGGGCGAGGCCAGCGGTGTTGCCGGCAACGGGTTCACAAGCGCCGACGTTTATGCCAGGGCCGACGACTACTCGACGGCTTTCAACAATGTCGACTTCTCCTGGCCGACGATTTCACCGTACCCAGAGGTGCCCCATGAATATAACATGAGCTGGCAAACCCAGCCCCAGGACGTCTTTGCCAGCCCCCAGGCGCAAACATCGGGGGTGCCAGCATTGACCAAGCACCACCACAGCGCGCCCTACCAGCACCAGCGGTTTGACACCTTCGCCTTGGGCTCGGGCCCCGTCCACTCGGAGCAAGCGACGTCTGCGGCCCCGGCCTCATCCTACTCGCCGCTGCAGTACACCACCGCCGCCGCCGCCGTCGATACTCCGGTTCTGTTCGCCCACAGCCCGACGCCCGATCTCGGGTACTCGGGGTCGCCCACGCCCAGCTTCAGCCAGAGCAGCTGCGTGACGCCGCGGGCCAGCTTCCAGCACGCCGCCGCCGGCATGGGCAGCAGCCAGGCTTTGCCCGTGAGGAGCAACGGCAACCGCTTTGCCGGCGGCAGCGGCCTCGTTGCCGGCGACGGCTTCGCCGGCCAGCAGCAGCAGCAGCAGCAGCATGGGTGGCAACAAGGGAGCGGCGGCACACTGGCTGGCGCGGATGATGAGGCCTTCCTCAATCAGTACGCCGGGAGCGATGACCACGGGCTTGCGGACGCGCCCTCCTCCACTCAAGGGCAGAGCCCGAGCCGGCTGTCCAGCGACCAGGGGGGGTCGGCAAAGAAGGACATTCCCTATTCCAAGCTCATCTTCCAGTGCTTCCGGGACAACGGGTTCAAGCCCATGGAGCTGCAGGAGATCTACGATTGGTTCGACAAGAACACCAACAAGCGCCAGGAAGACCCGCGCGGGAGAGGCGGGTGGATGAATAGTATTCGCCACAACCTCAGCATGAACCGGGTACGTCGGCTCCGAGCTGGAAAACGGAAAAGGAAACAAGTGACTAACGTGTTTGTTAATGGAAAAAACAGGCCTTTACAAAAGATGACCCCCGCGAAAGTGGTCCGCCACAAGGCGTTTCTGGAGGCGGTACGTCAGGCGGTAGGAGGAGGAAGAAGGGGGCGTCGCCACGCGAGAAGCACGCCACCTGGTATGTGACGCCCGAGGCCATCAAGGCCGGGGGCGTGCTGCCGACGACGCGCGACAGGAACAAGGGACGGGCCAAGGGCGGCGCTAGCAGGCTCTGCAGGCAGCCGCAGCAATATCACCAGCCGCCATCATACTCGTTGTCATCGTCGTCATCACACAACAACCAGTTCGGCATACCCTCAGCAGCTGCCGGTCCATCCCAGCCCATGGCCTTGCAGCTACGTGGCCAGGACAACCACAACCACCACCACCACCACCACCACCGCGCCTACCACCACCACCTCCCCACCTCGTCCCCACGCCCGCCGCCCCCACCGCCCGGCAGGCCAGCTGTCGGCTACCGCGGGCCCGGGCCCGCCGCCGCGCTGGCGACGACGCCCCTGGCCCACCAGGACCTGCACTCCTACCAGCCGGGCTTCGACTCCCACCACCACCACGGCTTGCCGAGCGAGGACGTGATGCACCTGTGCGGCCCCCAGCTGCAGCTGCCGCAGCAGCCCCTCCACGACTACCAGCCGCGCGATTACCACACGCAGCAGCAGCAGCAGCAGCACTACTACGGCTACCTGGAACACGAGCGTCGGCAACAGCAGCAACAGCAGCGTGACAGGCTGGCCATGCAGCAGGCGCCACTGCAGGCGGCCGGCGGTGGCGGCCATCAGATTGGTGCCCGCTACCACGGCGACTACCAGCAGGATGCTGCCGTGCCACCACCACCTCCACCACCACCGCTACCCGCCTCCGCCTCGAGCTGCTACGGGGTGGTGCCGCTGATGGCGCCGGCGAGTCTACCCGTCAACCCGGTCTCTGGCACCACCGGGTCCGCTTCTGCAGGCACTCTAGCCCCTCGCGCCGCCGCCGCCGCCGCCGCCGCTGCTGCGTTTGAGAACGCCCACGTCGCATCCAACGCGTTTGCTCCCATCAACAACCAGCAGCAGCAGCAGCAGCAGCAGCCGCAAGCCCACCCAACAACAACTCCCATCAAGGCGGAGACGTCGCCACCAGCCGTGGCAGACGACGAGGACGCAGATGCCGATGCCGATGCCGACGTCGACGTCGACGTGGCGTTGCTGCACCAGCGGCATGCGGGCGGAGCAGCAGCTGACGACCTTGCGCCTCGGCCTGCAAGGCCCGGCTCCCCGCTGGCAAGGGGCGGCGGCGGCGGCGAGGGCCGCTGGTCGCGTGGGAGGCGGCGAAGCCATCCTGGGTGGTCGGGGTGACGGGGGCCCCAAGCAAGGCAAGGCTCTCTCTCTCTCTCTTTCTCTCTCTTTGCATGGGCACACGCATGTATCACATGAGCGGTGTGGGGGCTTTGGATGGGAAAATGGGATTGGTCTGGGAGGTTGGGCGGTGATCACTGGTGGCTGTCATCGATTTCCGAGGTTGGTTCTTATCTTGTTCTCCTCTTTCCTCTCTTGTCTACCGTGTAATACCTTTTTCTTCCTTTGCTTTGTACCACCCATACCCCTCCAGAAGACTCTCTATTGTACACCAAGTTTTCTTGCCCGCAAACGCTCGGGATCATGCCAGCACGCAAGGTCTAGAGAGACAGGGAACTTGAGCAGCTACTTTACCTCCACTAATACCAAAATATCAATAAATAAAAAGAAACTCTACCTTGCCGTGCAAGCCAAAAAGAAAAAATGGGCTCGGCCCGACACGGTGGGGACCGAACCGCTGTGCAACGCTGGGAATAGAAGGGGGCAAGACTAGATGGCGCGTTGGCTGTCATGGAAACCCCACCCAAGACTTGCTTCTTTTTCTGACAGGGCGCATCCGCTGTGGAGCACTGAAGTCTGCGCTAGGCCGCGGGGGGTTAGCTCCGCGGGGCAGGGGCCGAGGTGCTTGCCTCGTTGGAGAGGGCTAGCGAAATGAATGTTAAGTGAGCCTGGAGGAAAACAAGACGAAGGGATTCTGGCCAAAGACGAGACTAAGCATCACAGAAACACAAACACACCCCACACACACACACCCTCCTCCTCCCTCCCTCCATCGTTTCTTCACTCCACAATGTGCCGCTGCACCCCTCCCTCCACCTCGCCCGCTATCTCTCCAGGGCGTGCGCCGCGAATGGGAAACAAGAGGGCGTTTTTCCTGTTGGGTGGGCAGCACCCCTGCGCTCACACGGCTCGCAAGACTTGGACTTTTTTCGACGAAGGAGGTCGGCATTCCCTTGCCCTTAAGATTTGCATTTAAGCCGCCTGAGGGCTCGGAACGACGCGGAGGTCCGGGCCACTCTTCGATTTTATCGGGTACCTATGTGTGTATGCCTTTGAATTTGTTCTTTTCTTGATACCATGACGGACAAGGACTGTTATTGGACTGACATGGAGCTTCCCGCCTCCTTTGACCTGCCAGTAGTCGTTGGATGGCGTTTGTTGGACAGCCCTAGTGGACGCCACGCAATGAATGCCCTACTCATGTTTTTGCTTGGCACCCATGTCTCGATGGCGTTGCCTCTTCTTTTCCTGTCGCCTTACATGGTCCACTTGGCTCACATTCACCCAGCGCCGCGGACGCGGGCGTTGATTGCGCGCTGACATGCAGGAAGCAAAGCAAATTGGAATTTTATGCTACTTGGCTCAGCTGACAGCCGACGTTTTCCCACCCCACCAAGCGCGTGCCGTGCTGGCCTGCAGGTAACCGTTGGATTTCGCTCTGGGCACAGCCCTTCCCCCTCCCAACGAGACAAGCGGCTCTTCACCGTTTGCCCGTTTGGGGGCGGGGGGGTGGGGAGCGTGGGAAGCGTGGGAAGCGTGGGGTCGTCCACGTTGGACACAAACGCCATTATTTGTCACGTGTAAGCGAGAAAGCAAAAAAACAAAAACAAAAACAAAAAAAAAAAAAAACCTAGGGGGGTGGTTTTCTGAGATGACAAGCGGCAAGGTCGATCCTCGGTTTCCCTCCTGCATGACCCCCTGCAGCTGCAGATGCTCCCATCCCATCCCTGCCCCATTGTCCCCATTGAGAGCAAAGAGGGCACATGGACGAAGTGGCTACCCAAGGCAGCTCCCTCGCTCGCCTCGCCACGGCATACCCCAATCAAATCCGTCTGGACTCGCACGTCGAGGAGGCTGCGGCCAAGGCTCGCCTACGCGCTCCTCGGAGTCCTGCTGCCCTCTCCCTCCTGCCCACCCCCCCGCCAGCAACGGTCACGTCCGGAGACAACGGTTGACGGTCAAGATAAGGCAGCGACAAGGACCGACCTGCCCTGTGGAGAGCCGGCCGCTCAGCCGGACCATGGTCCATGGTCGGCCGGTTCGGATTGGGCCGCTGGTGACACCTCGGGCCACCCCGGCAGCTGCTCGTGTGGAGCTCGTCCTGGTGCAGCTTTTGCCCTTTGGCGCCTGTTGCCGAGCACGCAGCTCCCACTTACTGCCCAAGGTGTCTACCCGTCTACCCAAGGCTTGCCCCCCTCCATCCAAGGAGTGTTCGTCCAGCGTTGCAGTAATGGCGAGCTGCCCTGCAATGCAACCTATACGACGCAAGCGTATTGCTGCCAGCCGACACACACACCCACACCCCAATCCCAGCACGCACCGAACGACCATCTTTTACTTCTTCGGATAAGCCGGCATCATCACCTTTTGACGTGGCGGATTGTGCCATATCTGGAAGGCTGATCTCGTTTATGCGGCCATGCCAGGGTGACGCTGTCGGCCAGCAAATCAACGATGTTGTTCAGTTCAGGTATTAGAGTGGGATCCGTTTGGAGAGCGCATGGAGCAGGATTTGGCTAAATTCGACGCCATCTGGAGGACTTGTTTCCACCATGCTCAGAGGCCCGATTTCCGGGCCATTGGAAGAGATTGGGGATCGGTCGTTTCTCAGTATCGGATCGCTGCTCGAGACCATCTGTGCTCCACTCCCCAGCAAACCCGGCATCCAACCCCTAGTCTTTCTTGTCTTGGCCAGCAGCAGCCAGGGCCTCCAGACAGCAAGCATCCAGTCTAGCCTTTTCCAGCTCACGACCAAAAAGATCTATGTAGACCTGTCACCTTGCCGCCCACCCATCCACCACACTTGTCAAGATCCCCAGCTTTCAGCTGAATGCCTTGGGGAATGGCCGGTGGGTGCAGAAGATCCAATTTGGCTCTGCATGAACACGGGCCAGCAGCTGAATCCCTTCGAGCGCCGTTGAACCCAGGTCGCCCGGATAGGAAGGTTGATCGGCAAAGGCACCCCTGTTTGTTATTGTAACTCGGAGGTTCGGATTTGCAGGAGCGCGGTGCGAGTATTGCAACGTACCGCTTTGTAATAATGACTTGTGCTGGTACTTTTTATCACGGGCTAGATAAGGCGCAGATGGAAGTACCGAAAAAAAATGAACTTTTTATTGGCTCACGCACGCGAGATCAGCGGCCGGGGGTCGAACGGCACTCGAAGGGATATGAACAAGAGTTGGCACACACCCACGCACCCATCACCACCCCAAACCCCCACTTTGGCTTTGATTTTTTTCTTTGCCGGTTGTGCCTCTTTTGGGCAAGCCGGCTTCCTTCCAAAAGGTGCTACCGGGTTCTTCATGCCGGGTGGCACCTGTGTGTGTGTGTGTGTGCTTTGAAAACGACGATATCCTTGCCTAGCAGCCACTAGTCTTCTAGCCCTGCTTTTGACACCTACTCGATGCTACGCCAGAGTCACCACCGCCACATAGCCGGACACCCTTCGGCCGCCTCCGGCAACGGGGAGGAGGTTATGCATGTGTCAGCCGCACCTGTGACCGGCTTAACCCTGACGTTTCCGAATACCCCTTTTTGGCTTTTTTTTTTCTTTCTGTTCCGAGTAGAAACGAGTGTCCGCTCTTTGGCAGCCTTGATCCAGTCTAGTGCCAGCATTGCTGTGCTGGTGTGTAGCCCAAGTGCTCAAAGGATTTCCCGGCACATGAATGTTCAAAGGCCGGCATACCTCACCAAGACCTCGTTTGTCACCGGACCACGCTCGAGGTTCGTACCCTCGACAATCTCACCCTCAACTACCTATCTGGACACGTCTCGCTCTTTGCCGAGAAAATTCCGGTCATGGTGACAAAATGGCGACGCCTCGCTTCTTGGCATCTAGCCGAGCCCAAGGAAGCCCCGCTCTTTGCTTGTGTGTGCCGGCAGGGGGAAACAGTGTTTTTTTTTCTAGTCAACATCCGCCTCGTGGTGTCTTGTCTGTGCTGTTTGCTCCCACCCCGGGTCGAGACGGAATCTTGAGGGCACCCCTGGATCCCCGAGTCGGCGATCTGGACGCCCGGGGAACTCCCTGTTTTCAAAGTCGAGGACATGTCAGCTTTGAAAAGTTCCTTGCAGAGTCGACGGACACGAGAAAACAAGAAAGTCCAGATGATAAATGATAGGCCATTAGCTGGGCTTCCGAGGCTTTGTTGATAAAGGACAGGTCAGGGGACACGTATCCAAAGAGGCATCACTCGGCGCAATCTCGATTCCGGTGTTTGTTTGCACCATGCTGGCATCCAATGTCAAATCCTGTAGCCACCCCCTGGCCACCCTCTTCCCGTTGCCTGCTGGGGAACTCCCTAGTTTCCCGCTGCGGGAGACACGCACGACACGTCACGACTCGAAGATAACCCGGAATGCCTCCCTCTCCCTGCCTGCCTGAGGCCCCTCCTTCCCTCCCGAAAGAGGCTAGACTGGGGTCAGCGAGATGCTCGGTGGTGTACAGCCAAGCCCCTGATTGGGTCGGCTAGCGGGTATCCACCTGCTGCTGAGAGAGAGAGAGAGAGAGAGAGAGGAGGGAGGGGGAGGGGG